AATATGATAAGCAGAGTATATACCATATACACATTGAAGTTGTATTTATATATAAGTATTTATATATACACAAATATTATAAAAATAATAATAATACATAAAATTAGACATACATTCATATATTGATATGATATTGATTTATTAATACCTGTAAAAAGCTTATTAATTAATTTGGATTAACATAAGCTTACCAAATGGTAATTAGATGTTTGGATCCATGCAAAAAAGCTTTTACCATAATTATGGATTGCCAAAGAGTCTATGATAACTACATTATCTTCAATATATTATATTATATTAATATTTTTTTAAGACTTTTTATGTTGATATTCAAACCAGTCTTATTATATGTTAAGGTACAGTATGTGTATTATATAGTATTACGATCTATCTAAATCAGATATTAAACTGCTATCTAAACTCACTTGTTCAGCTTTCAACATTTTTTTTCGTTCCCACACATCTCCAGCTCTAGCTCGACACATTTCATGTCAAATAGTTAAGTGGCCCTACGCAAGTGTATTAAAAAAGCAAAAACACACACACACATACACACACACACTCAGACAAAAAAGTAGGCAGCGCACTTTGACGCAGTAGTCCAATTGCCGTTGATAATGATGCACTCAGTCGGCAAAGTTGAAAGGTTGCCAGTGAAAGAAACCAAAACCAGAAAAAAAAAAACTAAATAATATAATATAAGTGAGAGAGAGGGAGAGAGAGACCCTGCGCCCGTCTCTGCCGGCCCCGCCTGATTCGTAGCCAAAGACTGAGGATAAATGTAGATTTGAACGCCTCGAATTTTCATTTCTCTTTTGTGGCCAAGTGCGGCAGCTCTTTTCATATTTTTATGTGCATCTTCCTTTTTTTTTTCTTTCTTTTTGTGTGCGTGGGCAGAGTTCAACTAATTGAGTTGGAAATTTTTGCAAATGCCATGACCAGCGGTCGGTCGACTGCTTCAAAGGCAGCGCCGACTCCAGCGAGCAGCAGCAGCAGCAACAACAGCAATTGCAACTGCAACGGCAGCTAAGCATGTTGCAAGCATGACTTTTCGACTTTTACCTAGTTGTAGGTGTATGGGTGTGTATGCCTCTCTCTCTCCGTGTATGTGTGTGTGTATCCTGATCCTGGCGCATTTTGACAGCCGCGACAAAACTAATTGATTTCAAAACGGCTCTAAAGCCGACAGATCCTCAAAATGCTCGCCCACACAGGATCACATCAGCTGCTGCTAAAAAGATGATGCTCGATATGGATTTTAAAAATATA